AAATTTTTCTAATACAAGGGAGGTCATATGTCTAGGTAGGTCACAACGTGAGGCCCATCTCTATTAAAAGGGTGACGACATATAATTAGTTTTATGTCTCTAGTTAATGTGTTGTATGTTTGGTTGAACACTATCTGGTTGAAGAATTAACTTTAATCTCTTGGATATGATTGAATAATTTTGGCCAGAATTACACAAAAGAGTATTGTTAGGGAGACGTATATTTGTACCAAATGACATTTGACAAATGATGCATACAATTAACATTCAATAAAATAAACTTCTGCCACATTAGGTGATACATACAAAATTATGGTATTCCTAATATCTGCCTAATGTTGTAGAACCAAAATTACATACTTAAAAACAATAATCTTTACAGTAACAAATGTACTCACAAGTGGTGAGTAGGGTTTTTCACTTCAACGCATTGCTAGATTAAAAATCTTCTCTCTTTTCTTTATCATAGTTTAGAGTAGTAGTATGACTTGTAATAATAAAAAAAAGAAGAATGTATTTGTGTTGGTAAACTTGGCTACAACAGTTCTACCTATATAATTGATGTCCTTAGGACTTAAGTCTTTTCTGGAAAGGGTTTGATAGTCGTGTCATAATTTAGGGAAGATGCTGAGGAATAAACAGTAAAAAGCGGTTTAGTCATTTTGACTACTACTACTACTATTTACTTGTTGCTTATAGTTTTAATTCATAGTACATTCCCAATGCGCACCTTATAGATAGAAACAACTTTCTCCTCAATCTTCTCCTTCTCGAGTAACTCGAAACCCATTCACCAAGTAACAAATAATTTGCTCCTAAACTCTTTCAGCACATAGAATCAAGTTATCTTGTTACACTGTTAATTTGATCCGATACATTATTGAAGTAAAATTTATTTTATTTATTGATGATTTAAAATAAATATTTTGACTAGTATTTTAAATTATATTATACTATGAAAAGAAAATATTTCCCTTATTCGATTGTATACTCACATAACACGTCAAGTTGTTTGAGAAGAGAGTACTATACTTCAATTCAAAGAATCAATTTTTAGGTAAAATTTTTGCTGTAAATGTTTTCTAGGGTTGATGTTTAATGACACCTCACAAAGTAGTGCCACCCCGTAATTATAAACCAACCATATGGATCTTCATACACCGTCCACTGGTAGACAAACTGAGATCATACACCTTCCAACTGGTAGACAAAATGAGGGCGGCGAAGTCAACAAAGATAATTGAAACTAAACATAGGAGATCTCTAGACGTGGACCCTTTCCCACCACCAGATCTAAGATAATTGAAACTAAACATAGGAGATCTCTAGATGTGGACCCTTTGGATTGTTTTCCCCTCCTAATCTCTCTGTACTTCTCTCCCCTCTTATTTGAACGGTCACAGTTAAGTCACGTCAACATCTTATATTGATTTTTTTTATAAAGACAATAAGACAAAAAACAATGTGTGAGAGAATGAGAGGGAAGAGAATGAGAATAGGAGGAGAGAGAATCCTACTCTTTGTTTTCCCACTATCAGATCCAAGTCCCCCAATCGTGATCATTTTCATTTTCCATTTCAAACAATAACAAAGAATTGAAGAAACAGCCTTTTAGGTCAATTCCTTATAGAAATATTTACTCGTGTATTTTGAGGTTTTAAATTTGAATTTCGCTATGCATAAGGAAAATAAATCAAACAAATTGAAAAGAAAACTAAAAAAAAGTTTAAAGGTCTAAGAGATCGTCAGCTATCATTAATAATATTAACAATCTCTACCTAGACTATACCTATGTTTAGGAAGAATTGCAGTAAAGGAGAATATACGTGAGAAAAGCTAGGGAGTAAAATAGAGAAAGCTGAGTGTAAAATTAAAATTTAGCCTATTAAAACTCTTGCAACTTGAATTACTATAATAGTCTTGATTTGTAACACAAATATTAAAACTCCTATGATTGCAAAGGTTATAATGGATATTTAACAATTTTTTTATTAAGAAAATACTAGAGACTACATTTTTGCACCACATTAATGTACGATTTGATTTGGCAACTGATTTGTACATGTTACGTCAATTAATGAATTTATATGATTGAATGTTGGTTGTATGAATTATTTGTCACATCATATAGTACAACAATTTGGTATAAATATAGGGATGTAATATTCACACACCCTATTATACTTCTCACACACTTTTTTAATTTTCGGCCATCAGATCGGATGAATTGAAGAAGATCAACGGACATCAAGGGGTATATGAGAAGTAAAATAGGATATGTGGATATCACATCCCTAAATATATGTCTCCCTAGCATTACTCGGTTGGTTAACAAGTAATTAACTTGATAGATATCGATAGATTATGAATCTTGAGCAAGCTTTCCAAGCCTTAAGTAGTTAACTTATCTTCATAAAAAACAAAAGTAGTTAAGTAATCTGTGTCATCCTATATTTGTATTGTATGCAAATATAATATTTTCTGAGTAGGGTTTTGAGATGGTTGAATGAGTTTAAAACTAGTCAAAAAAATAACAATCACCTGCAGTCAAAGTTGGAGGATCTCCATCCTTATGCTTTCTAACTAAGCCCTAAGCATAGCCTAATATGTTTAATTGATGTACATGTGAAAATTGCCTTCTCCTGTGGTATGGTGACTGATTGGACTACTCGTATTATATATAATGATACTGCTTATCATTGTGGATCATGATCCACGTACAGTGACCTACACCTACATTTGTGGTTGCAGTTGTTGCATCCCGTTCAGTCCGTGGCTCAATGGGGGCGGTGCTCTATGTGTCCAAATGGGTCAATGCAGTCAAATTAGCATGCCTACTCTTAAAGATTATGCAAGTTTCTACCCAAAATTTACGCTAGTGTCCATATTTGGCTAACATAATCATTCTGTTCCCCTTGATAAAAGCTGGGGAGGAGGATTATAACTTAAGACCTCGAGTGTAAGATAAATGTTTTTAATTACTTGAGTTACAAGTTATTTGTGATTACAATAATGATATAATAAATTGTAAGCGGTGCATAGTTTATTTATACGGTTTGTTTATAAATATCGACTATTCGTTATTCTATTGATTCAACTCAGGATCCACGTATCAATGTCCACCGAAGGGCCTTGGGTGCATGTAGGTAAATGACGTTCGTCAATCGACAACAATTTCCTTGTGCAGACAGATCGTCCAACATCGCCGACGGGTAGGAAGATTGACAAATGCTCGATATGGAAACTGCCGATGACCAAAGAGTACCAATTTACGTGACGAGCATTAATTGGTTATCCTCGTAACAAATGAGAGGTCTCCTTTGTTACCAGTCATGGAACCAACTAATTAGGGACCCGTGTCACTATCAAGCATCAGAAGCTCTTGGACTGGAGAAATTTTTTGTTGTGACAGGAACACGGATGGTACACCACGTGTTTTTATGTAAGTGGTGGAAAATTTTAATTTTTAAGTAATTAACCTTTTAACACATATATTCCACCATTTATATAAATACACATGAAGAACCATCTTATGTGACAGTCACACTGAAAAATTTCTCCTTGAACTGGTATAACACCGGTACTCATGGCTTTCTCCTAGCAGAGTCAGCACACTTTACATTGGTCAAAATTTTGGCATCAACACTAATAAACTTGGACCTTAATATTTATATAGAGGATGTTTATCAAGATTAGACGGTAAATTATTAGCATTATTAAGACCAAATTAGGTCAAATATACTACAGGTTGGGCTACTAAACCAAATTAGGCATTACTAAGTCCAAATTAGGCATTATTAAGATCAAATTAGGCATTAACTAAACTACATATTAATAGTATCCTCGTTGTCAACCAAAATCATATGAAATTATCAATTTAACCCTCTAATTAAAATTGAATATGAATAAGAAATATAGACAGAAATGTAACTTCACACAAACAAAATTTTGTTGGTTTTTTCAAAACCTCATTTACATGTGATTTTAATATATATCTGATAAAATAAAATAAAAATAAAAAAAATGAAAAATGGAAAAAATAAAAAATAAAAAATAAAACTTTAAAGCTCGCTCCCTACTCCCACATTCTCTCTCACTTTCTTGGTCTCTCCTTCTACTTTAAAAACAAAAATAAAAATTTTCACACATACTTTCTGTCGGTATGCTAGATAGACATTATTAAGACCAAATAAGCAAATGCATACAAAATCACAAGTGGTAGTAGCAATATTTGAGATCACAACTGATATATGCGTTAAGATTGAATACATTTGAGATCACCATTGATGTATGCATTAAGATTAATGAGGGTTTGATATTTGCTAGTATTAGTATGATCCATCAGGCAAATATCTAGGGAGAGATCTTATTCTAACAAACAAATTAAGAAACAAAGAAAATGAAACTGCAACGTCACATAGATATTGTATCATATTTAGCATTGATATTTGATAAGATTTCAGATATTGGTAAAACCCATTAGAGACACATGCTGTGAACCTCTATCTACTCAAAATCTAGGGAACTGTCCTGTTCCTGTAAAATCTCCTTAAAAATGGCCTGAATTCTGGCCTATCAATAACCTCAAATCATTGAGAGAGAGAGAGAGAGAGAGAGAGAGAGAGAGAGAGAGAGAGAGAGAGGAAGCATCCTGTGAGGTTCATGGTCATGCAACGCTTAATCTTTAATCAAATTTCTATAGAGGGGGTTGACAAAGGGTAATAAGTATTCTCTAGACAGAATTAATCCATAAATATTTATTCTATCTTCAACCAATATATAATTGAGCAACCAACTTTACCATACAAAAGAAAGCTGGAATGTAATATTACTAATATTTCTGACTAGTTGATGACTGGTTTTTATGCTCTTTTTGAATACTTGGAAAGCGTTTAATTGATAGTGACGTTACTAAGACTAAACTTAGTTGCATGAGAAAATATCTTCTATTTAAGAAGATCTCCTAATCAGATACATGCCAGCACTTCCTTTTCTTCCTGTCTGTCCATTCTTTCATTTCAAGCAATCTCAAGCTGTCCATTTTTTCCCCTCTTCTGTAAAAAATCAAGTGTTTGCAGCAGCATAAAAATCTGTTGTTAATTCTTCACTTCAAGATCTCTTGAAGCTGAAGTAGAAGTGAGAGTTTGAAAAGATGTGGGCTTTGTGCATTACAGCATTGGTTGTTATAAGCATTACACATTGGGTTTATAGGTGGAGAAATCCCAAATGCAATGGCAAACTTCCACCAGGCTCAATGGGATTGCCACTACTTGGGGAAACTTTACAATTCTTCACTCCCAACACCTCTTCTGATATTCCTCCCTTCATCAAGGAAAGAATGGAAAGGTGAAATTTGTGATAATTTGTGCGGGAAATGATTTGCGCGCTCCCTTTTTTCTCCTTCTGTACTCTTCTCCTTGTTTCTAGTCTCAGAATTGAATAAATCAAATGAGAATCAATGGAAAACAATGAGTGTAGGGCAGGAGAAACTGAGAGCGTGAAAATCATTGCCTCTTGCAATCTTCGACTCTCTTTTCTCTTTCATATTTTTAACATGCATTCTGAATTTTTCTGTTTCCAGATATGGACCAATTTTCAGGAGTAATTTGGTGGGAAGGCCAATTATCGTATCAACTGACCCGGATCTCAATTACTTTGTGTTCCAACAAGAGGGAAATTTGTTCCAAAGTTGGTATCCAGATACATTCACAGAGATTTTTGGCAGACAAAATGTTGGCTCCTTGCATGGGGTCATGTACAAATACCTCAAGAACATGGTCCTGCATCTCTTTGGCCCTGAAAGCCTTAAGAAAATGATCCCGGAAATTGAACAGGCAGCACTTAGCAGGTTACAACAATGGTCATCTCAGGACAGTACAGAATTAAAAGACTCAATTGCAAGCGTATTTTTCTGATAACCTTTCTTCTTTTTGACTTACCATTCACTAAAACTTAGTATCTTGTTTGAACTTTTGAGTCTGATTATCTTTGGTGTTTGCAGATGATATTTGATCTCACTGCAAAGAAACTTATTAGTTATGAGTCAAATAAGTCCTCGGAGAACTTACGGGAAAACTTCGTTGCGTTCATACAAGGATTGATCTCCTTTCCTATGGACATCCCTGGAACATCTTATCACAAGTGTTTAGTGGTAAACATATTTCTTTTGCACCATAACACTTGTTTGTTGCATTTAATTAGCCACAAAAATTTAAACGGTTCAAGTACGAAATAGTTTAATAGTGAAAGCATTCTAGATTCTAGTATCTAATTTATTATCTTGGTTTTGACAATCAAAAATTTCTCAGGGTAGGAAAAGTGCAATGAGAATGCTTAAGAACATGCTGCAGGAAAGACGAGCAGAGTCCCGGAAGCAGCCAATTGATTTTTTCGATTACGTGCTTGAAGAACTTAAGAAAGAGGGAACAATACTTACAGAGGGAATTGCTTTGGACTTAATGTTTGTGCTGCTTTTCGCGAGCTTCGAAACAACTTCCCTGGCTATAACATTAGCCATGAAGTTTCTTACAGACCATCCTCTTGTGCTAAAGCAATTGACGGTGCGAAAAAAAAAAAATTCAAACTATGCTAGTGATTGATTTCAACATTTCAAAACATGTTAAAATTTTCTTTCTTGTGACAGGAAGAGCACGAGATGATTTTAAAGCAAAGGGAAAATTCCGATTCTGGACTCACATGGAAAGAGTACAAATCAATGAAATTTACGTTTCAGGTGAGTCTCACACTTCAACTTTCAATTCTTAGTTAAAAAAATATAGAAAAAAGAATTTCATATTCATAGCTCTGTCTAACAAACTGACAATTTCAACCTGCAGGTCATCAGCGAAACAGTTAGGCTGGCGAATATAGTTCCAGGCATCTTTCGAAAAGCAGTGAGAGAAATAAAATTTAAGGGTATGTAAGGAGTGATTAAGGAGTAATATATCTTTTTTTCTTCAATTATACAATAAAGTTACAATCATGAAAGTCATCCTAATTTTACTTGCTATACAAATTTGTTATGGTTCAGGATATACAATTCCAGCAGGTTGGGCAGTTATGGTTTGTCCACCAGCCGTACACTTAAACCCAGCCAAATACGAAAACCCAGTAGCCTTCAATCCATGCAGATGGGAGGTCAGTTCAATATCGGAGAATGGACAGTTCTAGTTCATCTGCAATCCTCTTTTTGGTACCATAATTTTAGTCCTCAGTTGTACTTCAAAAATGGATTAATGCAGGGCGTAGAAGTGTGCAATGCATCCAAACATTTCATGGCTTTTGGTGGTGGCATGAGATTTTGTGTTGGAACAGAATTTACTAAAGTGCAGATGGCTGTATTTCTACACTGCTTAGTTACCAAGTGCAGGTAAGAATGTCCGAACGCCGGCTTTTACAATTTGCAAATGGTAAGGTAGGGAGGGAGACTAATTACATGTTTACATCCAAAATTTTTAGGTGGGAACCAATCAAAGGAGGAGATATAGTCCGAACGCCGGGTTTACAATTTCCAAATGGTTTTCATGCGAAGATAATGGAGAAAGAAAAACAAGCAACAGAAAAAAACACATAATTCTCAAGCTGCAAAGAGGGATGGCATTTTAACATCACTATATTTGGTGAATATGTACAAAGAAGAAAAAGCAATTTCCATTGTCACTCTCCACAAACAAAGACCAACTCAAGTGTTTGTTTAGGGTCACATACAAAATTTTATGCTTCCAGTGCAATTTTTTTCTCCATTTTTCAATTGTGTGAAGGTGGAAGGAAAAAAAAAAGGAGAAAAAAAGAACAAATTAAACTATTTAAGAGATATGGATCCAACAAAAAATGCAATTTAATCAAATGGAGATAACTTGTAACCTTTTGTACGAAAATGCTCCAGCATGTTCTTCTTTTTCTTTTTTTTATTCGAGTGAAAAATGAGACCTACCTATTGCAATACCACATAAATGCTTAAGGGTAAGACCTCGTGTGGTATGTACGATTGGATTGGAATTGATAACTCTCTAATTTAAGGACCCATTGAGGTGAGTAATGAAAAAATTATGTCCAACTAAAGGGTAGAAGATGAATTACTCATGAAGAAAACTCATCTATTCCAATCATTTCCAAAATGGTAGGATTAAAAGAAATGAGTTTTCATCATGTCTAATCTCTTGTAGTCCCCTCCAAATAAAAAATCATTTACTTTTGCTTTCAATATACCTTGAAATTAGGGAGTTATCTATTATAATCCAATCAAACATAACAACAAGCCCTATATAAATGGTGTCAGTTGGATAATAATAGTAATCATCATATCAGGCCCTTTAAGAGAGGGATCCCCATTTTTCAAAAAAAAATGGGAACACCCTCTTAACCATTAGATTTGACTTTAATGAAATTATGTGGCTGAGATTAAATCACAGACCACAGAATCTTAACCACAGGATTTCATTAAAGCCAAATCTAACGATCAAGAGGATGTCCCCCTTTTTTTTTTTTTTGAAAAATGGGGATCCCTTCCCTTAAAGGCTTCCATCATCATATAATCAATGTCTCATGAAGTGAACCGGATCGGTTTGGGGCTCATAGGGGTATGATGAGAAATTTTGGAACTTTTAATCTTTGGGTGCTGATAGGATTTTTACCATTACAAAAGTAAGGATAAAAACATTTAAAAAAACTTGTAAGAGAACAAAATACTTGTAATAAGATTGCTCAATACAAGGTCGTTCCCACAAAAATTATTTAAAACAATTTATGTAAAAACTAAATTTTAATTAATTATTTAAAACAAATTTTGGAAAAGGTTGATTTTGGAGTTTAAAATAATAAAAACGAATTTTAATTAAAACAAAGAAAAACTAACGAAAAGTCCAAAAAAAAGTTTAGTTTTAATGAAAAAATGACAAATAAAGGTGTAGTGAAAAGTATCAGGGAAAGGTAAAAATGTGGTTTTTCGTTAAAAGTAAACAGTACCGGGAATGTTTCGTTAAAACTCCCTTAAAACAATTAAAGAAATGGGCAAAGTAAAGAAAGCAAAAGAAAACATTTTTTGAAAATAAAATTGTAAAAAGCACTACGGTCCACCATCACATTAACAATCTTATGTAATTCTTCCAATCACTTATAACTTATATATACATATTTTGAAGGTTAGGTGTTCCTAAAATATGCTCTACTTGGACCCCAATATAGAATTATATCAAACATGCAATTCGTCTATGGTATTTAGATCAAATCTAAACATGCAAGACTCATTAAGTTTTATGAAAACCCTTTGAAAAATCATGAAACTGACACACCCTGACCCAGAATGTCCACTAGGACTCCGAATCAAGTTGTGCTGGCCGACACCTGGAAAGTGACGAAGCCATGAAGTGTAGTGATGTGGAAAATATGAATAAATTTAAACCTAAAAGTTCTTAAATACAAGAGTGCTATGTGAGCGAGAATGAACCCAATTCACATGTGATGACAGAGCATAAATACTGTACAGTAAAATATGGTGAGAAATTATATCATCAAAGGTAACCGTCTACCCTAAAATTTGCCAAGAATCCTCGTCGATATGAAATCTCATCTACTAAACCTGGAGGGGTGAAAAATAAAGGGGAGTGAGCCTGAAAATATAATTTTAATTAAAAACCTTTTGAAAACGTTATAACCCCTCGCCATAAAATATGTATAGTTTCTAAAATATACATACTACGTATAATATGAAAATACTTATCGTAGCCTGCAAAACGTAAATAAGACATGATATCCCAAAATCACAAAATCTCCACAGTAAAATCAAGTGCTCAACAACCTATGCTAGCACATCAGTCCGAGTCGCCTAATGCGACCTGTAAGACAAGATTGGCACCTACTTGGATCCAAGGCGATACGGTGCGGGAGGTGAACATATATGTGAAGGATTGGCCCTGGCTTGGGACGATAGCACTAACACTAGGGTGAAGCAATGATGAGCATTACATGAATATAAGCATGCCATAATGATGCAATAATTCTAACCAACATAATAACCTTACCTGAACTTACCTGCGCATCTCGTAGGATCATTTTGGCATTTCACAATTTCACAACAATGCAACATTTCTTAATCATGGCATGAAATGCATAAATCAATTCAAAAGCATTTGTGGAAACTATAAAATATATATATACACACACACACACTATAAAAAGGAAAAGACCCACTCACCCGAAGTCTGCGCTACAACTTCCTAACACGAATATCGAGGCATCACGAACGATCGTCTCCTAGAATAAATATCAAATAACGTCTCAGAATTCTTATTGATAGAACACGTAACTTACATAAAACGCATCTCCAAGAACGTTCTAGAATGATTTGAAACCCATTGACCAAAAGTCAACCATCAGTCAAAGGTCGACGGTAGGGTCCACAACACTACGTAACTCGATCCGAAAAATTAGCACCTCAGATTTCCAATCTATAACTTTCAAAGATACACATTATGCTTCTAAAACAACATACTAAAATCTTACCATAATCCAACGGTTGGATCTCTGCCAATCACAATTCAAGTGGCGGTCGACGTTTTATTTTACGAACTTACAAATCTAATTTGGGAAGATCCATACCTCGGATTCCTGATCCGTAAGTTCTTAATATCCTCAAATATTACGTACTATAACGTATTAAAGTTTGGTGACGAACCAACGGTTGGATCGTCGATTCATTCAATATCCAAGTGGTGGTCTCTATCAAAACTATAGTCTTAAGATGAGATTTCGTAGATCAAACGCCACATATGAAGTTAGAGTAACCAAATTAGTCTAGGAGGGGCAGGTGGGGCCTTGGCCCACGCGTTGCCGCATGCGGCCTCCGGCTGCCCCGGTTCGTCGGAAAATTTAACTATTTTTAAAAATTACCAAATTTTACAGGAATGAAGATCTCAACGAGTAGAGTAAGTTTTATACCTATGGACAAGTCCAATTGGCCGGGTAAAGCTCCAATTTAACTCGCACCCATCGAAAACCCTAGAATGGGTGTTCGTCGATTCAACTTCTCAGGTGCTCCAACACCCCTATCACTGGTTGGGTCTTGTTCCTGGGTCCAAGGGGATTTGATTAAGGGTGGTGGTGTGTGGTGAAACTCGTCGGATCGGAGGAGTCACCACCGAGCACCTCCGATGCCCTAGTCAGGTTCTACATGGTTTTGGACCTTAAAACCTTCAAATTTGGGTGGAAATGGTAGAGGGGAGGTTGTGGAAGAGATTGTAGGTGTTGGATGATGGTGGTTCGACGGGAAAAATGGCGGAAACCGCCGGAATTTGGTCGGGTGGGTGCACATGTTTACTGTCAACGGGAAGGAGAGGCTGAGAGCTTTATCTCTCTTCCCCACATTGGCTATTGCCTTTTTCCCCTCATTTTCTGATTGGTCCTTGCCTTTAATCTGATTGGTCCACAATAATTCATACCTGATTGGGCCTCTTTCCCACAAGGTGGGAGTTTAATTAATTTCTAATTTAAAATTTAACAAAACGATTTCAAATTTCTGTAACTATATCTTTAAAACTCGGATTCACAAATGACTTTGGCCTATGTGCTTATAGTGACAAGTATTACGAGGATATGCTAAAAGAATGAGTCTTATGTCTCTCTAACCGATGGTCAACAAAAGTCAAAATCTTTGCCTCTAGGGGCATTTTCGAAAAATCACTATTTTAAAATTTATAAAACTTAAAATTAGGGACAGGTTGTCACACAACCCTTAAGACGTGGTATTCATCCTTAGTGAAATTACAATTATTAACCACAAAAAGTCTTTGTCAATTTCAGGAACAACCCTCCAACCAAAATTGCATCAAATTATATTTCTAAGAATCTTAGTAGTGATCAAGCATTAAGACAATTAGATAGTTTCTGTGACGACCCGTCCCGAATTTATATTTATCTTATCCCTGATAGTGTGGAAATGTCGATTTTACCCTTGAACGGTTGGATTGTGAATGTATAATTGGGTTAAGAAAAAGGGACCAATTATGTTATGTCCAAATTCTTTGGACCCAATAGGAATTGGGGTTGTTTTAGATGATTTTTTTAGCCTATAGTGGCAACCCAATTAGAGTTTAAGGATTGTATGTGTGTATACCCAATCTGGGTCAAGACTCACACATACTCACACATGTGCAACCTTCATCTGTCACTCTCTTTCTCGAACCCTGTCCGTACAGTCCGTACGCACAGGCTCCCAACTAGCTTCATCTTGCACAGATCGAGATATTGGAGACCATTTCCAAGTTCCTTGCAAGCTCAGGAGCAGAACTATACCCTTAGTTGGGAGGATGGACCCCGGGAACTTGAGAACCAGGGAGCTTCGATGAGGCGTCATGTTACTCCTTCGTGATCGCGAGTGTTTCGTGGAGTTTTAAGGTTCTAGGAGGTTTTAAATCTAATTCGCGAAGCTTATAGGAGAATTTTGGAAGGTTTTGGACGTCGGGACACTCGAGTTCGTCGAGTTGCAGGTGTGGCCAAATTATTGAGACTTTTTCGACCAGTTTCCGTTAGTTTTGAAGACGTAAAAATGGTAAGAATGTGTTCTCCTAGTTGAGAACTTCATTTTGGTATAAATTTCATGGAATTTGGTGCTAAAATGAGTGAGATATTAAGATTCGAAGTTTTTCCAGAAACCGGCGAGTGCAGCGGTGGTCGACACCGGAATCCAGCGAACCAAGGAAGGAGAATGAGCATATTCCGTCAATTTTTATGGAATATTCTTAACGGCGTCTGGTATATCTAACGGTATATTCCATTATTTAACGAAATATTCCCTAACACCGTTAGGGAATTTGTCAATGTGCCAGGCACATGCTTGTGCGTGGGCAGCGCTTGTTGCATTGCCTTGGCCGGCGTGATAGGGCGCGTGGGAACTTAGAATTTTTTTCTAAAAATATGGGGTTGTTTGTGGTGTTGAGTAAGCTACGATGATATATTCAAATACCTCAATTGAGCAACGTATGAGAAGTTATTACCTAGTTTTGGTTATGTACTTAAAAATAATGTTAAAATCGTTGTTTTGCATATAGGTGAGATGTTTCCTGAGGACGAGCGCAATTAGGCGAGGCTCGAGGGTTACGATCCTGCCACATACCAGTGAGTGGGCTTTTGCTTTTCAGTGTAT